GTGTTTTTATTTAATTCTATTTTTAAGGGCTATATTTCATTAAAATAGAATGGCAGACAAGATAATACTTATTCTTTCTTTTAAAGGCTGAGTTTAGATTTGAGTCTGATCTTTTCATCTCCAGAGACTTTTTCATGCAGCTATAGTTCATGTTTATAATTAGAGCTGAGTAATTGGAAAAGCGTTTCCCTTCCCAAAGTAAAACCGAATTTTATCATAGAGGTTGACACATGCAGGAATCCACAGTCTCTTTTCTATGACCCAAAGCCTCATACACATAAATAGTCAAGGAAAACGGGTTTTCAGAAGCAGGATTTTACACCCAAGCTTCTCTTAGCTTGTCTTAAGGACAAATGAAACAAGGCAAAAATAAATAAAATAAATAAAAAAAAAAAGCTCAACTCAGCTAGAAACCTAAGATTTATCTGCTTTAGGTAAACTGTTAGATGCTCTTGAACTGTGTTGGTATGGAAGGTGACACCACACTTATTCATGGCAAAAACTTTGCTCCAAATCACACACTTGTTCCAAACTGTCACCATCTGAAACTTTGCATATACTTTTAGACAAATTTCATGTGGTACCCCCCCATACCATCACTTCTTACCAACCTTGACTCACTTTTATCTGCTCCTAACATTTTCACTGTGATTAAATGGTATTTAAGTTGGCATTTGTGTATTTGCTGTCTTTTCATGCTTGCTCGTATGTCGGCTGTTAAACTAGGAGACCACTGGAACAGAAACCATCTGAACTAAGTGTCTACAAAGCAGCTAGCATACTGTAGTCTATGTAAAATATTGTTTTAAATATGTGACATGTTAAGGTATATCCCTCCAGCCATTTCAATTTAGAACCTGTGCATAAACATCTGAATTCAACACACTTGTTTCCTAGCTTGATAATCACAAACTGTCATTCCACGTGGCTATTGGAACTCAAAGTGTCTGATAGATGTGACCATCCAGGCTGAATCTAAAATAAAGGAAGAAAGCCTGACTCTCTGACAAAAGTGTCCTGGACAATCTCATTTTCTCATTCGCCTAAGCTTCAAAAAAAGAGAAAAGGTATAGTCATAGAGAAGTAAAATAGAGAAACTACAGCTTATAGCATCTTTGTGGGATGCTCTCTACACTGGGGTTGCCTGGGAGGCCTTTTGCTTTCACATGAAAATCAACTAGTCTGTAAATATCATTGGTGTACACCCCTAAAATGTAAGTGATGATACAATCTGTTTTATTTCAACACAGAACGTATCGCATTCTTTTCTTTCACACTCCCCTGTGACAGACAAAGCACAAAATTTTATATTAGTATTCATTTAGACTGTATTCATCCATTAGCATTAAGGAATAATTTTCAAAATATTTAATTTTTAATGAACATTTCACTGTGTCATGTAAATTTTCAGGAATGATGGAACGTGGCATGTAACTCATTGAAAAAAGCTAGGGAAATATGAAAACATTTTGGCATGCCATAAAAATCCACTAAGCTGCAAACATGAAACAGTTGCATAAAACAATTTTAAAGCTATGAGCTACTGTAAGCATAATACAAATATTGATTTTTACTTCGGAAGAAATGATTATATACTAAATATTTAATAACAGAAAGATTGATAGAAAACACACTGATTCCAACCCAAAACGTCTAGTGAATTAAAACGATTTAACAGCAATCACTATATATACTAGTTAAGCAATAAAAACAGCCTACCAATATGTTCATGTTTGCACAGATGTTATTTGTCGAAAATAAAACATTGATTTTATATTTCCTTTGATATTCCTCTGTAGATGCTACATTAAAGAAAATGTCAGCTCAGCCTCTACAGATCTCTGAAAACAGTAAATGTTCTGCTTGTTTGGGTTTCTCACTATTTCAGAGAGAGAGATGTGAAGGGAGAGGAGAAGGAAAGATGGAGGGGAGGGAGGAAGGGAGAGGATGGGGATAGAAAAAGAAATGTTTAAAACAACTAGAACTATTTGCTCCTGCATTGTAAGATCTAGTTCCAGTTTGCCTGCATGCTAGAACGTCATCTACCCTTTCAATATTTGTTTCCCATTGTTTTCTGCCCATTTAAAAAAAATCAACAAAACACATCCCAAATTTTATAAAGCAGAGATGACATAGTAGGACAGCTCACGTTTATTAGCTATCCCACGCTTTAACATAAACAGCATTATAAGGTAAGCCCAAAAATGTATTTTTAAAAAATTTATTGCTTATGAAGGCTCAATACCAACAATGTACAAAACTTGCCTTTGCTTATAAAATGAACACTCTCTGACTTTGAGTGATAGAGACTAATGAACAAAGATACCCTTAACCTAACAAATAGGATAGCTGTGAAGCAGAAATTAGCTTCTGAGGAGCATTATTGGCCATCCCTACAATTTCAAAGGGGAAGACTCGCTCTAGCCTTTTACAGAAGTTAACAGCGAGACAGATGGTATCAACTGTCTACTCCAAAGTACAGCGGATATATGATAACAGAGAGGAATGAAAGATAAGAATGGAAGTGCTGCCAAATGGGGGGAAGAAGGGACAGGAATTCCTAGAGAAAGAAACAGAACTAATTTGGATATAACTTCTGAGGTTCCCCCAAGGCAAAGAACCTAATGTCAGTGGGTATAAGAGCGTAATTGTTATTTTGCAGCATCAATGGTCAGGAAGGGAAGACTAACATAAGGATCACATTTGATTTGAGAATTACATGGCATATATACACAAGGTTATTGACAGCAACCTCTTTAGAGAAGTAGGAACCCCACGTTTCAGGAAATGAGAAATAATTCACAGAAAGTATCTAATATGCAGGGCTTTAGAGAAAATATAAAGTATCCATGCAATTCTTATAATACCTACTTTTTAATCTTTTGTTAAATACAGAATATGATGATGTTATTCAGAAGACTTAGTTTAGCTACTCCATGTGAAACAAAGCAAGGTAAAACAATCAGATACAGCAACTTATTTGCAACAAAAGCGAAAATTTAAATCACACAGTCTGCTGGTGGTTTCAGAGCAGATATTTCTCTGCTCCTTTACCCAAGGAGCAGCATTTTATTGGTCTATTGACATTAAATCATTATAGAGCCTTTTGAAATGGTCAAACTGCCTACCCCCCTTAAATCAGTACAAGCCTAGCTATTTCATTATAAATTCAATGTCAGGAACTAAGTCTTGGAAAAGTAAGGTTTAATGAGCCAAACCAGGATTATAGTGCTTCCTTCCCTCACAGTAAGGCTGTCCACTACCTGCAGCAATACTACATTTATGGCTGTTATAAAGTACCCTGCCTCTCATTTTTATTGTATTCAGCTGAGTTCCTTCATCACAACGTTCATTCCACTCAAATATACAAACTCTTTTACTTTAAAAAAATCAGCATTAAGGGAAGCAAATACTATATTTCTAAACATTCAGAGACTCACAGGAGACCAAACGGGTATATGCAGCTTAATACAATCTGTAGTGCTTTAATGTCATTTTACATTGAAGGAGGCTTCAAGAATTGAAAAAACATTAAGGACTATAAGCAATCTTCTATCAAATGAAGGAAAGAATAGACGAAAAAGCTCTCAGTTATAAATAACTGATTAACATAATTGCTTCATATTCAGCAGAAATTACCTACTAGTTACGTAAGTCACGTAACTTCACAAATTTTGGCTCCATACCTTCATAATCAATAATTTAAAATTAATTCAAGCCTTCTCCAAATGGCTCCTATTACTCTTACAGAGTTCAAGTCATGGACAGCCCAGAAAATGAATTTCAGCATCTGGTAAATGAAACATTTCTGTGTTTTCAACCCCTGAATTAACAATTTCCAAACAGACACATGCCTGTGACTGTTTAAGATCCTGAAAAAATAGGACTGAACATACCCAATTAATTAGGAAGCACATTTTTATAGTAAGTTATATATACTCTTTAGAAATGTGTTTTATGTTATTTTTAAAAGGACACGTGAAAAACAAAATTTAAAAATTGTCACCAAATATTTAGAATGGATTACCATTTGAAGGACAGGCTATCAATTTAAACTACTCAAAGTTGCATCTCCACATTTAGAAATACAGCTACAAAACACAAAAAATAATGAATGAAATGAAATGAAAATGTAGTTAAAAGATTAACAGTTCAAAATGAGCAAGTATTCAGGTCAGGTAGACCAAGAACCACTTTGGAAATAATGTGGGGCAGATCCAGAAAACTGATGGTATCTTTTAAGATTTTGAATGAGCCACTAATCACTTTCTTTCTAACATACTGCATGCACTGACAAATTAAGTAGTTCTCATGTAACACATCAAGGAAAATACTCTTATATTGCACTTAAGCATATCTTCTGCTTGTGTACATCAACCTTCTTGAATGACACTGTTATTTGGGATGTAACACAGGGTGCAACTGGTAGTAGCTGATGCACTTTTATTTATGTTTTCCACCAGCTTTTGAAATTCCTTGGGAAACAGGGTTTTTTTTTTATCCAATATAACACGTGATCTCTTTTGTGCACATTTTTCAACACTTAGATGGTAAAGATAGCACATAGCAAACAGATCTTACATCCTTTTACCTTCATAAATAGTTCCTTGAGGCAAAAATACACAAAAAAAGACCTCACAAACATGTACTGCATGTTTGATATTGCCAATCTGGGTTTCAACACTTTCATCGCCAATAGTTCCAAAACTGAAACTTTCACAGTTGACACTGGTCAAATTTGTTATTTTTCTTTTGGGGGAGGTCAGGTTCGAACTCCTTTTAATAAAATACCAAAGGCTGTTAACAGTGTTAACGAATTGCCATTATATGTTAAAAAGCCGATCTTGATAAAATCCTAGTTATTTATTCCTTACCTTAAACATAGTTTACTGCTCTGTACCTGGCAATAATTATCACAATTCAGATTTTTAACACATTTCAAATATTGGAACACCTTAATAGCAAATAATATATGAAGCATATATGAATATACTACTCACCAATTTTAATCTTTGCAAAGGTATTCTGCTAGTGTCTATCGGTGTGCGTTCTGTGACATTAACAAATCTGACTTCTGGGATAGCAATTGCACATATTACATGTGCCCACCTGTGAAAAGTGGCAAGTCAAGAATACCACCAACAAAACCATAGACATAAGATGTTTAAGATGTTTCATTACCTGCTGAGCGTCTTTTCTTAAAAGTCAACCATCTCTGGATATTTCCTTATTAGGATTTCCTAAGCTTTTTTGAAACATATTTAAAAAACCTTACAATACTACCACTTTGTGTAAATATCATTTCAGTCTAGGGTTTTATTGCAACATTTTTTTAAGCATCTTTCACATTCAATTTATTAAGTGCAAATGTTTTGTAGTTGTGCTTTCCAGGTGCACATGTAGGAGACCACATTATTTGATTCATGTGCAATTTACTGCCTACAACATTTTGGATTAACATTACTCAGACCTGAATAACTATTCTTAGGCAATGCACATAATCACAATCCGTCATATATCTATCAAACTGTAAAACAAAGTATATTATCAAGACCTTCTGTTTACAGACACAAATGCATAGAAGTAGCAAACTGATCGGGCTAGTACTGTAATGCCCAACATGAACTGGATCCCCTTTAGCAGTGAAAGCATCTGTCAAGTGCCTAGGGCACGTAAGACCTCCATGCAACTTCAGGAAATGTGTCAGATGTGTCAAGAGGATGCTATGCACTTTCTATACTCATCGGAAAGCACTGCTATATCCTCCAAATGCTGGTTCAATACATAAATCTCAAAATAAGGAAGGCAAAATGAAACTAAAAAAAAGTCTGAAATTAATATTAGAAGTGCATATTATATGAAGTAAAAGAGAAGCTAATGACATTTTTATTAACCAAGAGCAGCCTTCTGAGACTACTTCTAAAATCTTTTTTTGGGGTAGACAACTAGTAAATCTGAAGAAAGGGAAACATTTCCATTCCTTGACTTGTATTTGTCATATTCTCAGTCATTCATTGTACATCTTTTCTGATTACGCGATTTGCTCTTTTTTGTAAGCCCTGAATGCTTGCCTCACTCCACTTTCTGTACATCTCCAAGGATACACATTACATGAGCATCTTAGCAGATTAACTCAAATGTGGGTTGGAACTAAAAGAGATAGAGGGTGATGCAGCAGAATAGAAATCATTTCTCTTCCCTGCAATAGAGTGGTGATAATTCAACACTAATTTTTGACAAAAATATCTGGAAAAGTATAATATAATATATAGGGCATAAGCAAACTGCTGTCACGTGACGTTAAAGTTGTATTGGCCAAAGTGTGAGATAAGATGTACATAAAGATGACATACCAATTAGCACGTTATACAGTTCAGCCCAAATGAAAGCGGATAAGGCTTGCAGATCTATCATTTATTATGGTGACAGTTTTGTTTATGTTCTAACTTACAGAAAAAAAGTCTTGCTTTGAGACTTTTTCTTTTTAACTTTTAGAAACACCCTTTTACTTTTCATTGCTGCCTGCCCACCTGCAAAACTACGTTGTCTTACCATCTATGCTTTATGGGACATAAATGCTATAAATAAAATGCCTCTTCCATACATCCTCACTCAAACCTTTATACTCTGACATCTCCCAACCTAACAGGACTCAAAACAATTGCTATGTTCTGCTGAAAAGAAGGAATCTCAGCAAATGTTTACCTCCCCTACCACCACCTGTTTTTGATTCATTAACTTTTAAATCTAAGTAATGCTAGTCCTGCACCTCTAATCAGTATGTGAGAGAGAAAGAAGGGGGGAAGGGAACGCACATGTTGAATTTTACACTTGCTGGAGAAAAAAAAGACACAATTGGAACATACTACTCCAAAAACTCTCAAAACTTTGGACTGGTAGCTAATACTGATAGATAGATAGATGAAAGACTCAAGAATGTGTAGCAACTGTAAGGTGTTACGGAAACAGGAAAACAGGAGTTGAACTACTTCTACAGAACTCTCATTTCATAAATCCGTAACAGAAACCTACAGAGGGATATAATGCAAAACCAAAGACTTTAGGTATAGTTATGCAGAAAAAGTCACTTTCTGCAAACCTCTGTGGATTTTTTTTCTATGAATAAATCTTACAAAACATTTCTAAATCATTTTAATTGATCAACAGAAAAAGATGTATGTATTTTAGATACATACATTTTAGATAGATGCAACATGCAATCTATCAGCAGCAAATATCAAAAGGGCATGAGAAATTCTACTGAAATAACACTTTTGTAATTTTTTTTTTTTTTTGAAGAAAACCAAGTAGCAAATTTAGGGTAGTTTAAAATAGAACTAAAAAGCAGCTGAATATTTTCATGTTTTGGTCAAAACCTCCATTAAATCAGTAACAATATTAATGCTTTCTGAAGGTAAGATCTGGCCTGTAAGTTTCACATAAATCCCTCCCCTAACTAGACAGTTTACAAGGGTCACGTGACCAATTGCAAATCACTGATAAATAAATTCTTGCCTGCTAAGTGGAAAAGAATGTTGCAGCTAGATCATCTCTTACCACTGCATTCCAAAGGATTAAAGAAAGAGGTCTACATGATATTGCTACGTTACTAAAATAATTTATTTAATTATGAGAAGATTCAAAATGCATAACGACTGTTCCATGATTTGGCTTGAAAAAATACTAAGCTGCAACATTTTCCATTTTATCTTTTAGGTTTACTTGCTATAGTGTTCTGTTATCCAAATACAGAGAAAAATACTGATGCTGTTAATAGCACTATGTCAGCAACAATACTATTTCTGAAAGTGTATGATAGAAGTGTATTTTTAAAAAACACTTCAAAATCTAATTTTTTAATATGATTAAAATTAATTAATTAAAAATACTTATTTTCTAGAAGTTCAAATGTACTGTATTAAATTCTGTAATCACAAATTTCCAGGACCAAACAAGAAAATACACTTTGCTGTTTGATAAGACTCACCCATGCAAACAATAACACATGAGCTGTCATTTACTTTCTTTACACAAAGGCCAGCAGAATAGAATTTGGAACAAGTAAGTCTATGCAAATACTAAAACAAATGTACATTTTAGCATCTAACTGTTTCACAGAATGCCAGTGGCACATTTCAACCAGGAATAATTTCATTTCTGCAACTGTTCAGCTTAAAGGGACACTGTCAAGTAATTAGTTTTAAAAAAGCTTTGTACATTGGGATGGACTGGGAATAAAGTTTAAAACAAGCACATGCAATCACGAAGGATGTATTACTTACTTCTTGTCAGTAGTTTGCTTTAATGCACCACCTCTCAAATTGCAGAGACAACATTCCTAAAAATAAAAATAGTGTAGAAAAAAGTGAGCTTTATTGACTGGTTACAAATCAGTTTTATTCAGCTGATTTTAAGGATATGTAAATTGCTAATGTAATTAATTACTGGGTTACAACCTGACAGATAAGCATTGCATCTCCTTACAGGAAAAACAGAATACAATAATGAAAAGAGAAATAACTCAAAAAAGCTAAAGATAAATAAGTTTTGAGTATTACTCTTAAACAAAGTGACAGAATCACTTTGAAAGTGATACCAAACAAAAAGGCATTTAATCGGTACTACCACAGAAAGGCTGGAATTGCCATGCAGCTTATTAAGGTAAAACAAAGTTAAATGACCCATAATTAGTTCAGTGGAAGTTACCGAGAAACTGACTTACAAGCCATTGATCCAACTCAAGCATTTGCAAAATATGCTTGTTCCTGACAGTTCTCAAATTTATAAACCTCCAGAATATAAGACAGGTTATGCTTTTTGCAAGAGTTCCCTTTGCTGCAGTACACCGTCACTGCCTCGATCTTCAGTACAACTCCATCTGCTTTCAGGGCACTCAGCAAGGCATATTTCAGTGGTTCCCAGATAATATGCCAAACAAATAGGGCTATTCCTAACTCTACTTAAAACTGTGCCTTTGAACAGATACACAGGCATTTCTACTTTCCAACCCTTCTCCCTCTCTTTCTAATCCTTCTCTCTCTCTTCAGTCTCCTCCTTTTCTGAATCTATCCTTTCCTTTTTTTTTCCTTTTCCTGTCACAAGAAGAGATGAGAAAGTGTTCCCAGTGTTAGCTATTTTTCTTCCTGTCTCAATTTTTCTGGTCTCTACAAAGAACCAAATGCAGAAAATGAAGTCAAGATACCCTGTGACTTGTATATCTTATTTAAATTTTCCTTGAAGGGGAAAAACAAACAAAACAAAAAACTTCTCTGTCAAAGACAGATAAGTCAAACTTCATGCCATTCTAGATTCACATACTAAACTCAGTTTAATGTATCACCTCCTATTTTAGTCCCAAACCATCACCCTTTGCAATGCTGTTGAACTACTGTACATAATCGCCCCTTTCTTTCCTATATGTAATTATCTTCCAAATATTTGTAGATTCTTATGATATCCTAACCACTTGGTATATTTTTTTGCCAAGCTATATATATTAAATTCCCTTAACTACTCTCAAAGGTGACTCAAATCATCTTCACGTTCTCTTTCTGTCGCCCCTTCTTCGGTCGTCATTAGGATAATGAGGTCCTGCCATCTACATAGGTATACTCTTAAGCTAGGCAAAGAACCATGGCTATCTTTCTTATCCCGAATATATTTTGGTTTCAAAAACACCTCACTTGGAAAATTTATTGAACTACATAGGCATGACATAAAGACTTTCCTCAACTAGATGCTAAAGAATCATGTTATTAAGGCTTTATACACCTCAATTCACCACGCTGAAATTATTCTGTAATAACACAACAAAAATTCCACTAAACAGTTAATGGGCACCTTGCAGTTTCCAGTAAAGTCCTATTTCAGTCATGGGAAATTTGCTTCTAATTGGAATTCAGTTCTCAAAGGCAAGCACTTACATGTGAAAACTACGGCATGAAACAGTCTGCAGATTCTTTAAACCTACCTGGGAATCCTGAGGACTACCTTAGCACAACCACAGAGTAATCCTACAGCACTGCATCCTCTTCAGTTTGATTCACCTTAGAATCTTGCCTACAAATCAGCAAAGATCTATTTCTTCAGCTCCTACTTTGAGTGATCTCGACACTCTGAGGGAATGGGTCATCTTTTCTGCTATCAGTGCTGTTTATCTTTATAAACAGAGCTTGGCCTCCATCATAGTGAGATACGGACCAAAAGATTGGGTCCAACCTGCTAGTTTTATATATGACAGTTGGAGGTGCAAGATAAAACCAGTAAAATGGGCACACGTCTCCATGACCACATGAAAGTAACAAAATAAATGAGCCAAGAAGCATGGAAAACAGTACTTGAAATGGAACAGCCATTCAGGAAGAGGCAAATACCATGATCTCCTAAGAAAGGAGACATGCAGGCCTTCTTGACGGTCTGATTCCCAACTCATTTGCAGAGCATGAAGCTTACAATGTGGAGGTAGAATAACATCTGCAGGCTGGGGAAGAGAGCATCAGTCTGACTCAATACAAGTCTTTGGCTGGGGAGAGAAAGCTTCATTCTCCATTTGCAAGTTTAAAAGATCAGTGGATGCCCCACCTGTGGACCCCTCACAATTCTTTTTTAAATTGAAGCACTTTCTCATATTTGCCATAAAAATCCTTTAACTGACTGCTTCTCTGTTCTGCAAAGTAACATTCCGTTTGCCCTTATTTTACAAGCTTTGATGTTCTTATGCCAGCTTACTTTGAAATTCATTATTAGAATAATGATGAACTTTTCCTGCTTCTAATAGGTGGGGTTTTTTTTACTTTTATGGAAAACCTTAATCTAATCTTCTGCTGTGTAACTTATTAATTCAACTAGAGAGTCCAGGGCCCTAAAGAAGTTTCACAAATAAATTAAACTAAAATACATAAGAAGATGTTGCCAACAAATTTCTTCTGAAGGTTTACTGTCTCTTTACCACCGTAAAAATAAAGAATTGTGAATTAGACACTGCAAGAGACAGAAGTCATAATCCTTACCTACTAGCTACAGGGCTTTCACACTAGGTTTAAAAAAAAAGAAATTTAAACAAAAGAGGAAAACAAAAAGAGAAGGGAGGAGGGGGAGGCAGCCCAGAGAAAAGAGAAGGTGGCTGTAAATATCCTTATTACCAGCTAGAAAAAGATTCCACCTATGCAGGACCTGTAGCAACCAAATTTAACCCCTTCTCAAAAACCACCTCTACAAACTGTTGATGAGTATACAGTGGTGGTGAGTAATAACTGTTCACAGTCTCCTGGATACAGGCGATAACAACTTAGGTCCATAGACGATTTCACCAGTGTTCATAGCAGACCTGGGCAGGAAGGACCATTAGCCTTAAAGCCCATTAAATCCATTTTGTAAATCGTACCTTAATTGCAATATATTGTCCTATATCCATGCGACATGGCTATTACTTTACTTCCAGTTTCAACATACTGCAAGCAATGAAAACACAGGGGACCTGATATTAAGATAGACTAATATTCCTAATACAGGTACACCTGCCATGGATGGCAGTTCAATCACGTGTATATTAGCAATTACTATCCATGTTCTCAGGAGAGAGAGAGTGTTTGTGCATCCATGTATGTCTGCTGTCAGCCTGTGTATAAAAATCAGGATAGGAACGGACTTCGTTGTAAAGCACCACCTTATAATATATCCAATCTCTGATTCACTATTACTTTGCAAATCCGTTAAACAAGTAATTTTGTCATTTGTATTTGCATTATGTAATAATTTCTTAAGCATATTATTTTACATTTATCTAAATTAAATCTTAGACCAACTGCTCACCTTCTTAAAAAAATCTCCATAACATTCCAGAATTACAAAAGAAAACTCTCTCTTCCAGTGTCTGTATAAAGTAAGATGTCTCCATATAATTCACACGGTTTACCATACTAACATTCACTTCATCTTTTAGCTTTTTAGTGGAGATGATGCATTTTTTTCACAACAAAGTAGATCATATCCACAGTTTCTGGACTAAACACTTCCCCTTGCTTACAATGAAACTGCATTTTGCAACTAGTGTTCCTAATCTGGTTTATTTTTCATTTCTCTGTTTCAGCCACTGCTAGAAACTGCAGCAAAAGCCTGAAGTCAATGTGAATTAACCATGCTTAGTTTGGTACATATATCCAAAAGATAGATCACCTTTTTTGGAATGATATGCCACTATTCAGGCATAGCTGCATATTAATTATTGTTGCATGGAAAAATACTACACAAAAAACAAGCCTGTTCACACTCATTTGTATTTTAAAATGAATGCATTTGGTTGTCTTTGAGTATTTTTTACGCTGCCAAAATTCAAAGTCCTATTGACAGTAAAGCTTATAAAAAGCAGTTTTCACACTTCCATATTTGCATACTTACTTCATCAGCAATAGCATTCTATATGAGACAGGAAGCTGTCTGACACAGCAAGGCAACAGAGTTCAGCCAAGCCATAGCAGAGATATATATAGTAAGCCGTATTATGGTTATTCTTATGGACAACTATGAACATGCCCCACACGATCCCCTTTCTTGTTAAACTGCTGTTTCTCCTTTCCTCTAAGACCCTGTAAATTACAATGGCATCTCCAAAGAATTATATTTATACAGTTAAATTAAATATATAACTTATGTCAGCGGAAGAAGACAGGGTAAAATAAAACGTATGTTATTCCTAATGAATTTTGTCTGACACATTTTCAACAGGTTCCTTGTAAAACGTACTCTCCATAATCAACCTAACAATCTCTTACAGCTCTTTGAGACATTCCTGCCATTACGGAATTTTTTGTAACAGCTAACCTGAAGATTCTGTGCTGTAGCTCAAGCCTTTTTCTTTTTACTTTATGCATCGTAAACGTGAAAAACAGATTGTTCCTGTCATTTTTGCCATTTTCCACCTGCAGCCCCTTAGTAGGTTAAACAACTGCAACCTTTTCACCTACTGTCTTCATCTGCAGCCATATTTTACCCTCTGAAATGCAATGAGGACAAAGCCTTAGTGATGTCAGGCAAAACATGTTTAGTTGATACATCTTGCATCCCACATCTAGGGAGATGTGTTCACACAGTGTTAACCTTTGTTCTGCAGTGACTTGTTAAACTCATGCACTGTAACTTCAGGACCTCTTCTACAGCAATGGCTGGTGTCATTGCTCCTCTTTCCTTTGTCTGTATTCTAGCTTCAGCATCTTATACTTTTCCCTATTTAATTGCATCCTGTTTTCCAGAATATCTCAATAATTTATCAAGATCTTGTTCATTTCTGATTAACTTTACTTCACAGGCCTCATTAAAAAAAAAAAAAAGAAAACAAAAGCT